CTTGGATTTATTGACAGTATATGTCAAACCCCTCTCCAATAGTCTACGCTCTGTCTCACTCAACAGTCTATCTGAAGTAGTAACTACGCTACAACATCTGCTGCTAGATACAGGCCTGCTAGTTGGACCGGTCGCCTTGCTACGTACGGATATCAAATGGTGAAACATACGGATTTGTCTTCCTTTTGTAGTCCTCCCTTGCGTTGAGTTAACATCCGAAGCTTTGTTGTAAAACCTGTCATTGTCTTCCTGCATTAAGATAGTCTGCAACTCCGCGCTCATTCGATTTGCGTGGAGGCGGACTTCACCCAGGCGTAGAGTTGTCAGATAAATCCGTTGTTTCAAGAATGCTTTACTCTCGTTGAAAGCTATTTTGGCAGCAGGATAACTGTTGTCCGGTGGTTTGACTACTAGGTTCTGGGGTATGAAGTTGTTTTTGAGGCAATTGATGTTGAAAATGCGATGATTCTCCCAATTAGCTTCAAGGCCAGCCAATCGAACGAATTCACTTGCCAATTTTCGAACGCGAGGTCCGTAAAGACACTCAACATCTTAGAAAATACTTGGAACCGATCGAGAACTCATGATTTCAGAAAGGTTTGAAAACAACCGGTCGGTATAATTTGTGGGCAGTGTGAACAGAATGGACGGGGCAGAGCTTTCGAGCGTGTGGCGAGCTGTTTTAACCCGACCAATCTGAGGAGCGTTGGCGGACGGATCCAGGACAGACAATGAACATCACATCATCCCCGCACCCATCATTAACAGGGCTTGCGTGTATGACCTTGCAACGCGGACCACTTGTGACCGTTCCATGCACTATTTGGAGTGACGCGTTGACCTGTAACGCGGTTGACCTTCTGTCTTAACACCTCCCTTCAATCGAAACTGGTACCACTGTACAAAAACCATGTCGCAAGTGAGAGGCTCAGGCGTTCATTTTGATGTGATCATTTAGTAAGGGGATTGTGTTGTGTGCGCTCATCACTATTTATATTTGAGTGTTCACCTTTGATCGTTAACAAAGTTGATACACCTGTACATATACTAGTCACATTTCCGGAGTAGAGTTTTACGCGTGTCCTATCCAAATGTTTTTCTTTCGTTCATGGGTGCACAACCTAGAGCTACAGGACCTGATTTGCGCATAGGCCTAGTTTACTTACCGAGACACAACAGTTAGGACATCTTTGTTCTTCACCAAATCCTCCTTTCCCCTCTTACTATTTCCCATTCCTTGAGTCAAACGCAGTGACTATCCAAAACACTACCGAATAGACCGACGCGCAACACTGCATGTGCCGCACATCTTCAAAGTGCAAACTATTGTTGCAGGATAGTTGATACGCCACCGGTTTTAGCTGTCAGCGAACAAACATTGATCGATTCACTTACCTTAGTAGCTGTGTCATCTCCAGTAGTTGTATAACAGCAAGGCCCGTGTGCTATTTCACAGTCTCAACCATCTATGGAGACATTGGGATATCACCGTGTCTGCGAAACGTAAAGTCTTTAACGCTGCGATAAGGCCAGTCTTACTGCAAGAAGCCAGAGACCTGGCTAGTTCACAGTGAAGACATTAAACGATCTCTACAGCCAAACATCGGGCAAAGTCAAGGCTTACGACAGGCTGTCCTTTCCGTTTGCTATCACCGGCGGCGTACGCCAAGGATGGGCTGTTGCACCTTTCCTCCTCAATTTTGCCACTGAAGATATCGTCCAACGAGCATTAGAAGACGCTAAAAACTGCGGTATTGAGCTTCTCTCAGGTGACGGAGTCGCGGGCTTGGACTACGCCGATCATACATTTTTGCTCGGGGACGATCCACAAGCCGTCCAGAGCGCTTTGAACTGTTTAGCGATGGAGGCATCTAAGTATAGCTTGTGTTTCACTTCAGGCAAATGTAAAATACTTCCCCAGGATTAGCAGATACCTGTGTCTGCCCTCACCATTGCTGGTGACGTCCTGGAACTAGTCCCCTGTTACACTTATTTGGGAAGTTGGGTCACGGCTGGTGGCTGTGTTAAAGCGTTCCCACAATGGATCACAAAGGCCTACCTTGCATTCATCAGAGTGAGAGACCTATGGTGTTATCGCATGTCAGTCTCAAGTTACAGGGAAGGGCGTACATTACCTATGTCCGTGCGGTCCTCTTGTACGGCTGTGGGATTTGGTCTATTCGCTCAGAAAATATGAAACGATTGTCATTTTTGAACAGTCGTTGTCTGCGAAAATTGCTCGCATGTCGTGGCAGCATCGCGTAAGCAACACAGAAGTCCGAGAGCGAGTGCTTGGAACAAACAGCCCATGCTTCCAAACCGTCATTCTCCGACACCACATGCGTTGCCTCGGCCACGTATTACGCATGCTAGCCTATCACCTTCCCCGTCCAGCGTTATTTACGCTCTCCGGAAGCGCCGCGGTGGGCAACCAATGATGTGTAGAAGGAGCATGAAGAAGGCAACCTCAATCTTGGCATCCGTTAGACCCGTCCGCCTTCCAGGATGGGGACCACGCGACTCAGACTACCAGTGTTTAGAAACACTGGTGGTTATGGCGCGCAACAAGCATCAGTGGCGACAGTTTTGTTCAACCGTCTTATCTATTAGTTATTGTCAAGTCGAACTCAGAAACGTAAAACGGCGCGTGTAAAACCAAAAGATCGTTTTCTTCTCATGCAGTAGTTTGTTTCCGCCTTTTCGCTACGGTTCTGACTATATATATATATATATATATATATATATATATATATATATATATATATATATATATAGGCAGTAAACGCTTAGCCGTGTTTGATCACTGGTGGTTACGGAGTTTGCTCCCACCTGGTAGGAATACTGGGTGAGCAATGCTAAGGTTGGTTTTTGGAAAGAAGTTCTCTGGTGTCTTGCTGGAATGTTTTCTAAAGCTCAACCGCTCACATTGGATAGGTCATTTCCCTGGCACTATACGCCGTCGCTGTACTAAGTTGGGCGTAACTGCGAGGTCGCCAGTCGATGACGTGGCATAAAGAAATCGACTGAGTGACCTGGTCAGGCAAGTACGTGCCGTCTTTGTGGATGGGATGGTCCACACCAGTGGTTGGGTACCATCAGAGATGGTACATTCGGTTTCTGCATTCAGCTGTTAGTTTTCATTCAATCCCCGCTACTACTTGATTCCATTTTCTCCGCATCTAACCTCGTCTTCTTTCCGTTGTTATTTGCTGTTAGTCATGACAAGTGGATCCACCCTACTTCGGACCATAGTCGTGCAGCCGAACAGAACTATTCTCCACTCCGTAGATCACGGTGGTTGTATAACAGCGTAGCATCAGCCCAAGTTACTTAAATAAATAGTTTATTCTCAAATTTATAGACACACCAAAGCAGGCATGATCAAGGTACCTATTAGATGGAACCTTTGGGGCATTCATTTTGTGAATGGATTGCGGCGCGCAATCACAACATGGACCGTAATTCGCGTTGAATTGAACCTGGTCACTTCGATCACGGACACTGTAAATGAAGCGGATGGAAATTAAATTTTTAGTCGCCATAAAGCACTGCACTCCATGACCGAATTTGTTTGATCTAATCAGATAGAGATAACAGATACACGAAATCAGGGTCTTTGAGTCATCAACATCAACTGTTTCAAAGCTGAATCGTTATGCTCGACATCGATTTCTTCATTGAAACCAGCCTAGCGAAGGCTCACCTGAAACAATTAGCAAATCCAGTTACTTGGTCAGTTTCATTGTCAGTGATGTGGAAAATGCGGTCGTAGACCAAACGGCATAGGACATTTTTTCTTGCCTTAGAGCCAACTTGCCTGCTAGTTCGTAAAAATGCGTGGCAACGGCAACCGTAGGTTAACGATGATTAACTACGTCAGCCTATGTACACCAGAAAACCAAACACCAGAGTTTAGTGGTGTTCCATGGTGCGTGTGTCCTTCTGTCGACTGTTGAGGTGGACACTGCTAATAAACCTAAGCGACACGACACGTTTCGTTTGAGTTGTGGTCTTATGTTGTTATGTGGATGCATGTATAGGTCAACAGAGATATTGTTGCTTGATGCGTTAGCATGGTTATTTTGATCGATATGACTGATAATCAAGCTCGGTGTCAAAGATTTTACGTGTGCATTTCCGAACGCTAAAGCTTTACGCTTTCTTCCAGCCACATAAGCAGTTTGCTTGACAAGCCAATCGAAGATCAAAACAAGAAGCTGCAGGTGCCGAACTGAGGATTAAACATGATCACCGGCCTTGTCTCTGCCCTCGTGCATCAACGCATTTTTCTGCGCTCAAATCTCCACAACAACCCCGTCCATTTGCTTCGCACAAGGTGTTGCTCAACGAGCACGCAGGAACAAGAATTATCTGCCGTCGAGTATGATAAACTGTCCAATGAAGTCTTGGGACGTTTGGCTGATTTTTTTGATGAGCTTGGTGAAAAGTACGATTTGAGCACTGACTATGACGTCCAACACGCGTATGGTGTCTTGAAAGTACACTTTGGCAACCCCATAGGAACATATGTAATCAATCGTCAGGCACCGAACAAGCAACTATGGCTATCTTCCCCGCGTAGCGGACCAAAACGATATGACTACAGCTTGTCCAAGAGACAATGGGTGTACAAACACGATGGAAGCGAACTTCTGGCTTTAATTGAAGAGGAAATTTCCGACATAGTGAAATCCTCCGTGACAATTCCCAAGATCTGAATCTCATCTTAGTTCTTTCCACTGATTGTCTCCCAAGTTTCCGGAATGATGCCATAAGCAGCACCCGCGAAGAATCCCGATATTTGTCCCTGTGATTGCATCTTGTGCAATAGATAGATTACAATACATCAACACAAATTTTCATCACCATTTGCCTATTTAATCTCAACGAACTTCTTTTTATTATACTGTAAACGTGTTCCTAGCCCCCACTTTTTCGGTCACCCAGATGTTAGAAAACCAAAGCCATCGGCGAACGACTCTCGAGTAGAGTAACAGTGCAAACAAACAACAGCAATTTTATTAGAACAGCTGACTCAGGTGGATCAGTTTGCATATTTTTAACATGTTCTCCGGTCGAAACATAAGCGCACGCTCTCACTACACTAATGGTATTAAACCACGCACATCGTAAAGAAGGTTTTGAATTTGATTACAGTACAAATTTATTCACCCAGATAAGTGAGAATATTCAGAGAGCTACGAGCTGTCGTAGGGCGTTCGTTGTTTTTCCACGAGACTGGCACATCACGCTTTTCGCACAGTAACCTAAATGGTCGCGGGCCAATGTTGTGCTGCTTGCACACACCATCAGGGATAGTACCAATCGAGAAAGTGCAGTGAAAAAGTCAACACAATCATAGTGAACAGAATCCAAAATTGCACAGTGGCCTTTGAACTCAAGGCGCTTTGTAGAAACTCGTTGCCTTGTCGAATGTGCTCTGTGGCAGTGGAGAAATGGGAACCGATGCTTTCCGCGGTCTAAAAAAAGAACAGGTTCTGCAGTTTAGTTTATATGACAATGACATTAAGCCTACTACGGTGGTGTGTAACGCATTAATCGGAAAATACAGTTAACCATTAATCGATTTCATGTTATCTGGTTTTGGATTCTTTATCAGTTGCATGTACATGGCCGGAGTGTATGCACAAATGATAATGTCATCGCACAACCTTTGTCTTCTGGTATTCTTATATGAAATTTTTAGTATAAACATTAGCTGGCTCCAGAGTACAGTACCGCATCGACAGCGGCGGTTAAATCGGTGGAGGCGTAAGACAGTGTCCCATTTGGTAGACAGACTAGCGACAGGCAACACATCCGGTCTCTCATGGCGCGCAGGGCTCACCGAACCTACCTAACTTACATCGGCGTTTCGATCATCTAGACTGGGTGCGAAACTAATGACAAAATACGTTGCAGCCATTCTCGTACAAATAATGGAGTGCAGCAGACCCGCATTTAGCTTAAATTACTATGTATGACTTCCACGGGGGACTGGTTTCATGATAACACCATAACTGGCCGATTAACGGTAGTATCAAGCAGCGCATGTTCGAGCTGTGATTCCCACCGTGCAGCGGCTGCAGGATTATCTACCGATGAGTATGGTCCACAATAACGACTTGACCGTAAAACTTCAGTTGAGCTTACGTTGAGCGAAACATATCGATCAGGCATACTGGTTATCACCCACACTGACTGACTCACCTCTAATTGCTCCGCTAGATGAGTAGACAAGGTTTGATTCAGTCGGCCAATTTCTGAAACAGCGCGGGCCACCAAGTGGAGCTCATCCCGTTGGTCACTCAAGTGTTGGTATAACATTTGATTTTCACGTTCAAAGGACTGCAACTCAACCTCAGTGAGATTTGAATCTAGGAAGTTGTGGTTTTCAGTTGGTCTTTTCATATTCGGGATGATAGGGTTTGATTTGTCTGGCCACTGCTCCGAGGCCTCACCTTTTTTGAAAGAAGCATCGCGTAACTTTAACAGCGATGGCGAAACCGAGCGAACACCAGTGGCCAGACTGGCGGTTATCTCCAAAAGGTGACGTTGACGTTCTTCCTGCATATATAAAACAAAGGAACTCTTCAATAGTACTGGTAATGACGACACGCGAGACACCACACTGATGAGAGTCTACAGTGGTGACCCACGACGGAACGTAGCTGAACAGACAACTGACTCGATGAGCAACTTTTAGGCAGTGGATAATAAGCAGTAGTAAGGACTGGCGGTGCGTTAGCCAAGCCCTGCAACAGTATCTTGTACCTTGGGGTGCAAAGCATGTGCGAAACGTACAGCGCTCCGAATGATCCTATACAGTAGCGCTCACATGGGGCAGACCCAGTTTGCTAGACGGTCACATGAAAGAATATCCACTCTAAGAAATAATCAACTTGACCAGAAAGTTAAAGAGGCAGTGTGGAGTGATACGCAAAGATAATGCGCTTTTGCATTGGTTCAATGTCACTACTAACCTCTGCATTCCGAAGATGCCGAAGTTTGTTTAATGATTCTTCAAGTGAGTCACAGATTGCCTGCTCATGCTGCATCAACTGAGGTCCACCTTCAGGGCATTCACTTTTCGCAGTTACTCCTTTTAATTGTACCAGCAACGCGGCACATTGATCGATAAGTACAGTCACTTGCTCCGTTAAATCCCTGTGAGATTTCTGCTTGAATTTATTACCGACGCTGGTGCCAGTGAGCTGCCTGACGCGTTTCAAATAATTCGCCAATATGTGCAGGTTCTGACGCAGGCTTTCCGCTCGGTTCCAAAAACACAACCGGTCAGTTCGCTTTGAAGACTGCACTTTAAGTGGATCCTTCGATCGGTTAACCTTTACTTCTGTAGATTCCAGGGCGCGAGCCAAGGTGTGGAATATGCGAGTGATGTCGCATGACATTCCTCATCAGTTTAGCTAAAATGTAGGCAACCCAAATGTTTTTCATTTTAAAATCGATCCTTTTAAAACCGATTTTAGCCAAACTCCCAAAAGACGGTACTATCGCAGAGTTATCGTCAGCTGCCACAATGCACTAGAAATCCGAACAGGTGTTTCGCTATCATACAACCAGAAGAATTTAACTAGTGAATGACTAATATGTCCTAATAAAACACTCAGATTCAAGACGACTACACACTATCAACAACTTTCGGTCACAAACAGTTGGTTATCATGCGAAGAGAAGGCGGCATCGGCGAGACAGCTTCCCTGTGACTTCCACTGACCCGCACCATTGCCCCAAAGATAATTCGGCAGCGGAGTCGACTAAGAGATGACAATATGCACTCCACTGGTACCGGCTGCGAGCCATGTCCTGAAACTTAAAACAGTTAGTTCCCTTCAGTAGTTTGAATAACGAAATGAGAAGACGAATATTTGCAGATGCTAGCATTTCGTATTATCTCGTCAGTACCAATACAATAACAGGGAAATCCTTTTATATGTCTTACAGGGCAATCAGATTTATGGTTGAGGTTATTGTTGTTGGGATTAGGTCCACGGCAACTGCAGGTTGACAACTAATTGCTTTTGGACACAATGCTGGTCTAATTCGGCTTATCGCGACAGCCTCGGCAAATCGTAAAATGCGTGCATTGGTATGACGTAACAAGATCCGGAAAGCCGATAAGGGATTAACCCGGTGATGAGTCGCCAACATGTGCCTGCTTATGGATGACGCTGGCGGCTTACGCGAGCACGTATCATCGGAGGTGGATTGAGTAACTTCGCGCTGAACCCAGTTTGGTAATTGTTCCTTCACTCTGGAATCTAAAACCCCTTTCGATCCTATGGATGTAACTGACACCGCAGTCACACACGAATTGGTAGATAAAGTGTGATTTGGCGCCGACGGGTTCATCTTCCTTTACTGAAGGTAACGGCAACTTTCGGGTTCTGTTGATAATTACCGCCTCCGCAGCACAGTATGTACGCTGAATGGCTGAGACAATGCGTTTGATCATCATTCTTGCTGCGGTGTCACCCTTGAATGGTAGCACAGTGTACACCTTTTTCTTAGGGGCTGTCAACACCATCTCCTTGGGCGGCCTAACTTGGCTATGTTTGTTTATGAATCGCTTTGGGTAGCCACTCTCCATAAGTGTTTTAGTGATCAGCTCAAACTCCTCAGGCAGGCAGTCGTTGGAGCAGACACGTCTGGCTTGAGTGAATAATGTCTTTACCAGCGCGCGCTTGTGTGCCATCGGTGAGAAGCTAGTGAAGTGTAAGTATTGGTCGGACCACGTTGGCTTCCGGTATACAGATCGCTTAATCAGCACATTATCCCTGCGACTCATGAGAATGTCGAGATACGGAAGACGTCCATTCGATTCGAATTCAAAAGTCACCTTCAGGTTGGTGTGAACATTATTAGGTTGGTCTACTAATTGTTCGACCTGCATCTTCGTGGAACCGAAAACGAGGATATCATCTACATATCGTTTGTAATACGGCAACTGTGAAATCTGTCCACTTAGTTTCATCTCAAACATCAGCATGAAAAAATCAGCCAGTACCGGGCCCAACGGACCACCCATAGCTACTCCATCAATTTGGCGATATGAGGTGTGCTGGAATCGGAAAGCGACATTCTCCGTGCAAAATAACGAAAACTATCTCAGGTCTGCCGGTATTGGTAGACGAAAATTCTCCTCTTCTATCAGGTGGCAAATGTAATCAACTGTCTCTAGCAAAGGGACATCAGTACATAACGACTGGACGTCCACTGAGCACATAACCTTGTCGGCTAGGCTGATGTTGTCTAAGTCTGATTATTTCAAGAGTCCTTAATGCTGTGCAAATTGTAGTGCTGCATCAGTGACGCAAGGATCCGAGCTAACCAGCGAGCCAATTTGTGCTGTGGGGAATTTACCATCGACAAAATGGGTCTTAGTGGCCCGCCCTGCTTGTGAGTTTTTGGTGTGGTGTCGAGGAACCGCTCGGCTTCAGGTGTTTGTAGGTGGTTTCATCGATTACACGATGTAGGAGAAGCGTTTCAAGGTTCCGGATCTTGTTACGTCATACCAATGCACGCATTTTACGATCTGACGAGGCCGTCGCGATAAGCCGAATTATACCAGCTTTGTGTGTCCAAAAGCAATTAGTTGTCAACCTGCGGTTGCCGTGGACCTAATCCCAACAACAATGACCTATATCGGGACTCATCGCGGAGATGGTAATGCAGAAATTGGAGGGAGATGTACTCCCACTCATTAATCCGAAACTGTGGGTCCGATATGTTGACGACACTTTTGTGATCATCAAACGCAATCAAGTTACAGTCGCACAGCACCTATTGAACAACGCCATTGAAGACATCCGGTTTACAATGGAAATGGAGAAGGAAAACCAACTGCCTTTCCTGGATGTATTGGTAACCAGAACCATGGAAGGGAGGCTGCAAACGTCAGTTTACAGAAAATGGACACATACGAACCAAATTCTGAATTTTAACAGTAACCATCCGAAATGCCACAAAGTAAGCTGTGTGCGGACACTATTTGGTAGAGTGCAAACACTACAGTTCCATGGAGGCAAAGCAACAAGAAGAGAAGCATCTATTTAAATGTTTCCAACTCAACGGATATCCACGAAGCTTCATCCGAAGGTGTCTGAACCACAACAAACCAAACAGACAGTCTACACCAACGACGGAGAGACGCGTTGCTTTACCTTATATGAAGAATATATCCGAAATGGCAGCAAGACTATTCAGACAACATCACTTCATCGTAGCACACAAACCAACTGCTACACTGAGAAAAACTGTCGAAACCGAAAGAGAAACTGGAAGCTCATGAGCAAAGCAATGTTGTATATAGACTACTTTGTAGAAATTGCGAAAAGGACTATGTTGGCCAAACAGGCAGAAAATTAACAACACGATTACAACAGCACTAAAGAGCATGCAAAAGACACTGTGCATCTTCGCTAGTCTCAGCACACGTGGATGAAAAAGAACACAGCTTTGATTGGGCCAAAACAGAAGTCCTGGCACGAGGTGAAACAAGAGCAAGGGAATTCCTGGAAGCGTGGTTCTCAACAAAAGACTCGATCAACATGCATATCGAGATTGACCCAGTTTACCAACCCCTCCGACGCAGAGAACTTAGCGAAATTATGAGACGCCGCTTGAATAGGAACAACCCAAGCAACGACCTCCGCCACGGGGAAATGGGTAGAGATCACGGGACACAGATCGAAGCCGTCACTTTCGAAATGTCACCTGCACGCAGATCACGGGTCGACAATTCAATCAGCGAGATTACACTCCACATTTCGACGCACTGATGATGCCGTCTCGCATGGCGGTGAAACGTTTGCAAACCAATTTCGCAGCTCGGCGAACAAATGAGCAACTGAATCTCAACCATAAATTCGATTGGCTTAACTGTGCCCTGTAAGATATATGAAATGATTTCCCTGTTACTGTATTGGTAATGACGAGACAATATGAAATGCTAGCATCTGCCAATATTCGTCTTCTCATACCCTGAAACGTCGCAAGACGAGAATAAAGTGAATCGCGTGGACTTCAGTCTGTAACGCGATATGGATCAACAGCACTCGGTATAGTCATCAGTGACTTCATTCCTGTTGTCAGATTAATTTCAAGTTAAAAGGTGTTTTATGCACCCGGAACGGGTGAATATTCAGCCGGCAAGTAAAACTAGACTCTACTGTGTAAGCGGTGACCAGAAATACGCCGCAATTTATCCAGTGTTACCTATTCTAAGGAACTAGCCTGATTATCACTACATAACACTCATCTGCACGGTTCGTCGCTTCGAACACACTGATGCTACCCGGCGCCAATGCTCTGCAGGCAAGCTCCGTGTGTTAGGGACTGAGAATCGGCCCCTTCAGTCGGAGGATCTTAAACGCATTCTAGATTGTCTGCAGAGCATTGGTGTCGGGTAACATCAGCGTGTTCGAAGCGATGAAGTGTGCAGGTGAGTGCTATGTAGTGATAATCAGACTACTTCATTAGAACAACAGACAGCACTGAATAAATTGCTACGTATTTCTGGTCACCGCTTACACAGTAGCGTCCAGTTTTATTTGCCGGATGTTAAATGGATCATCTTAATCTGACAGCGGGAATGTAGTCACTGATGACTATACCGAATGCTGTTGATCCGTATCGCCTTACGCGATTCACTTTATACTCGACTTGTGACGTTTCAGGATATGGCTCGCAGTCGGTACCGGTGGCGCGTTTGTTGTCATCTTCTAGTCGACCTTGTTGCTGAATTATCTTTGAGGCAATGGCGCGGGTCAGTGGAAGTCACAGGGAAGCTGTATCGCCGCTGCCGCCTTCTCTTCGCATGATATCCAACTGTTTGTGACCGTAAGTTGTTGACCATGTGTAAACACCCTGACACCAAATGATTTTTACGGCGCATATGGTTCTACACTTGGCCTCGCCTCTCACCTTATTGTTCTGCATTCCTAAGGCCATGGTAGAGAGGAATCAAATCAAAATGTTGCATCCACAGATTTAGTTTTTTTTATGACATAAGCATATGAAATTATTGTAATCAGTTAACTATTTGCAATGATTCCAAATACCTGCAGCTCGGGTTGGTAGTTATGGTTTTGATTGGTTCTCCGAGCTGAGTAATTTAATGGCAAACGTCTCACCGCTACGCTCAGTGACAGCGTAGAGGATAATTTCACAGAAACCTTTGCTCCGAGATCCGCTGTCCATTCGAGATAAATTCCATTCGTAGGGAAAGGTTCTCATTACAACTCCAAGTAACTGCGCAGACTCAGATAAAATGAGTTTCGATGCAGACATTACTGCTGTGGATAGTCTTTTGAGCGATATACAATTGGAATTCCATCACTTCAACCAGATATACATTCAAACTATATTAGGAATAATAAGTACCGAGAAATATGGAAAATGCTAAAAGGTATCGCAGGCGGCACCCGCGAAGCGACGCATCCTACTCGGGATGTGGAAGAAATGAACCTCAATTTCTGTCATCTGTTGAGCTGCAACTAATCTCAGATAACTCACTAGTGGATAGCGTAGAAATCCACGAGGAATTGTCAACCAAAAGTCGAATTAATCACCCGGTCCGGATAGACTCTCGTTCTCAGGGAGTGCGCTGATCATCAACCGGCCAGTAGCCTTAAGGATCACAAGACTGTCTTGTAATCTCAGGGCGCGTGTTCGAGCATGCATAGGGACCGGGCGACCCTCGCAGTATCCTTAGTCCACATGCGACCGGCGGTAGCGAAATGTCGGTACTGCGTACCGGCGTACTGCTGATGCCTTTCTTTCTGTTCGATAATTACCTGTCACAACCTTTCGTCGAATTATACAGGTTGTGCTCAAAGCAACAACCGACAACTGGCGGGACCAAAGCTAGAATCCTGAAAATATCAACCAATTGATCTGAAGACTTGAGACCCCAGTTTGATCTCACCAGGTAGAAATAGCAGGCATTGAACCCGGGGCCATGGGGATGTTAATCGAAAATTCTATCTCTAACCACCTGGTCGTGATGAGCAATGCTTGTTACTAGTTAATAACTGGTTGGAGTGCCATGTAGGAGCATTCGCTGTGAAGGGATTGCGACGCACAAACTCAATGTGGACTACCTTTTGCGTGAACCTTGGTCAATTCGTTTACTGGAACCATAATCGATGAAACAGCTGAACATTGTGCGACACCTGCTATCGTTACCCGATAATATCAAACAAGTTCGGAACTAGTAGTGGAATGCAGTCTTTTAGAGTGGGCAACATCCAGCGAGCTCAAAGTGATTACCAGGTCGGTAAGACGTCTATCCTGGTGTAGCGTCGCTTAAGGACCGGAACTTATCAACATTAATGTCCATGTTCGCTCCCGCAACAAATTTGGATCCTAAATACTCATTGAAGATAGCCACCCATTCCATCTAGATCAGAGTCATCGATTTGACAAAGGTACCAAACCATATATGACTATGGTACGTCAGTTGTCCCTTAGTTATCATGTTTTTTGACCGCTAGACTTAGTCAATCAAGAACTGGTGGGTTGATTACTCCTCAGCGTGTGTGTTGCAGCTGGATATTCACTCTTGAGTTGACTTCATATAACCGCGGTGCTGGTTTAGATGATGATGGTCCAGGAAGCTAAACCACCCATATGAACGTGGTTGCACGACGTAAGCTTAAGCTTACGCACAAGTCGCGGTAGCATGATTGTCCTGAAAGCTTAAATGTACAAGCTATTAGATCGTTTTAATTCAGATCTTAATGCAGAGGAGGTAGGTCTGTGCTGGGTATCCATTTTATACTCACAAGCTAAGTTTTATTTTCCTGTATATCGTTTCCGCGAGGAGGAAGAAAGTCCATATTACTCATAGGTAGATGATTTCAGTAGTACAGCACAGAGAGAAGTAGAAGTTGATGTCGCCAGTGAAGTGGTCGCATTACGACAACCGGTTTTCGTTCGTGAAAACTGAAGACTCCGTTGAAGAGGTCTTCTGGGGGTTTCCACCACATTATCCCTTGAGCAGTCTCACCGTTTGATGAATTTGGTCAGTTCAGATATAAACGACAGGAGATATTTTTGCGATGCATTGAAATTTGCCGACGGGAGCCGCTTTGGTGCATAGGACAAATGTACTTTGTTGGTAAAGAGAATCCAACTGTGCGCACAGTCTTGTCTAGAATGTCACTAGACTAGTGAGTGCAAGTGCCTTAATGAGTATCTTATCATTTTCTCAAGCTTCTTGTGATCATAAAGCGTTAGTACCACAGTGGCAGAATCCATTTAGGAGTAACTGGTGAAAACACAACCAAGCGACTGTGGCAGCGCGATACACCGTCCAAGCAATGTAGCGGTGTACGCAGCAGTGAATCTGCAACTATGCATCGTTGTCATCAGGTGCAAATACACCAACTGGTGCAAATTTATGCGCCAGATCAAGCTTGCACAGCGAGAGACTAGTCTACCACTAGGACGTAGGACTCGAAAAATTGTGAACGCTGCTCGGTAGGAGGTGGTAGCTGTGTCAAGTTTGGAAAAAGGAAACCACCCGTTCTTGCTAGCCAATCAAGGTAAGTGCACTCTTCAAACAAGTCGGCACTAGACACAAAACGTCCTATTAGTGCTGGGATTTGAAATGAAGTTTGACGACGGAATCGCACGGTTCCATTCGGACACCGATATTACCATCAAGATAATGCAACAGAACACTGACCTTTGATACGAACGGGCTTAACCACGGCTGTCTGTACATTCCGAGTGACCCCAGATCTCACTCAAATAGTTGGGGTGAGCAATCCCAAAGATAGATTTTATGGTCGTAATAGAACTAGCGCCAATTCCCTACATTGACTACATCTAGTTCCTAGTTTCCTTCAACCACAATCGTTTTACACACCTGTGTTCAACGTAAGTTTGGCAAGGTTTGAAAATTTCGCCTACTTGTCGCCAGACTCATGCTTAATGTCGACTGCCCCGTCAGTCGCTGGAAGCAAACGGTGCAATGGCATGGCATGTGCGCGAATGATGTGATGATGATCCGTGGACGAAAGGAGGAACATGTCCAAAGGTGCATCCGGAAACGAGATGATTTTTTGTGGGTATACTTTAACTCCCGTAACACTCAAAGACGACGTCGGAAAATCAAGCAAGAGATGTCACATAAGGAAATCAGTCGGTAGAGTGAACTACAGTAAAATCTCCGAAAGTCGGCCACTAAAGGGACTGGACCAAATTGGTCGACATACGGAGTTCATATGCCAAAGCATAGCGTAACCTGCTTTCCCATTGTGAGTAGTATAGCATGAAATTGCTTTTCACATAAACCCGTTTTTGAAGAAGTCAATTTCCGTCTTTCTCTCATTCACAAAGGCAAAAGAAAAAGCACTCTCAACACAAGCCACGCTACTCAGCATATTTTGACAATTTTTTTTTACAGAAAATGATTTCACTTACATTAAAAGATGTCTGATTTCATCCTCTTTTGGCGTTTCTGTGATTTTCAAATGATTCTCAGTCCTTCTTCCTCGTCAGCATCATCAGGTTTGTTTTTCGTTTCTTTAGATTTTGCCATCTGTTGTCTTGATAACACTAAAATGCTCTGCCGTCTTTCTTTGGCCACTGCTTTCCATAAAATATGTCAAACTAATCGTTTCCTCTAAAGTCAAATCTGAGGTCTTCTTTGGGCAATAAAGTTGAATTACTCGTAATGACCCATTCTAAATTGTTCAGAGCAAGGAGTGGATCTAAGGTTCCATTTACGTAACATTAATTACATACAATAACAAACCGCAATTGGTTTCACTCTCTGGCTAACAACAAAAAGAGCCGAATAAACGCTCCGCAATCAATATGAGCGTAACGTCAATTTCACCACAATCCAAGGTGCTAACGAACTGGTGGTTAGATCTGGTTGTTAATCGAGGGTTTGACATTCACTGAAACAGATTACGGCCTGTGCGAAGAGTGGACGCATGTTCTTACAGCTAGACGAAAGCTTGCCTGTGGACAGTTGAGGGAGGTTGAACACAAATCATTCTAGATCATTCTGTGGGCGCGGAGCTGTGGGGAAGTACATTGATCTGGGTACTACACGTGCGGATAAACTTTGACGGGGGGTAAACACGCACATACAGCTACACACAGAGAACACACTGTATTCTTAGACGTAATGTACACTGATTTGGGGGTCAAACGTCCACGAACTGCAGTCCCGCTGCACACCGTGTTATGGGAACAAACGAGCCATTAGGGAACCATTGGATGGTAAGACCTTAAATGGTCGACTTAGGGAGGTTGAATTATTACTGACTGTCATATAGGTCTGGTTCCTTAGGGTTTAAATAGTGACTGTGCAAGCTATGAAATGGTGGTCAACATAGGGAAGAGGTCAATTTTGGAGGTTATACTGTACTTGAATCACTTCTTGATGAAGCATCTCAATGCCATGACGGGAGTCTAGAGACTGGCCCACAAAGTAGGAGTGGAGTTGGTGGAAGAGTAGAGAACCGCAGTTATGGCCGTCAACAACTCACACACCAGTACTCGTATATCACTACTCCTTGTGACCACTGGAGGTGCGGTGTGACATATTCCAGAGCGGAAGAAGTGATGTTCCCATGTAATATGGGGAATCTTTGAATTTCCGCATACGTGCGCCCATAGTAGCGGGGCAATGCAATGCTCAAATTGAAAGAGATGCTCGCATTCTGAATACAGATAGCATGCCGCTTGTAGCCATCATCTGCAAACAGTTGCACGAAGACGCACATCTGAAAAGTGTGGCATGATCATTATGTACATACCAGATGCACAAATTCCATTGTGGACGTTCCGTACCCACTACCAGCAACCGAGAATCTTTAGATCGAGGCCGTACAACAGATTCAACACCTAGTGGTAACGGAATAAAGCCTGAAATGAGTGAAGTGCCATACCGAGGCAGACACACCATGTGCGGCACTGAGACATGGTTTTAAGAGTGAACGATAGTACAGAACTAGTTTCTAGAGAGCAACACCCTACATCAACTTAAACAATGCACTCACGATTAATGACAGTTTGCTGTCCACGGGAAATGGCGTTTCGATCCCGTCATCGCCCCATAGTCGTGCTGGAACAAGCTCTTGGAGCCTACTTTGAAGTCAACTACATTAAAGAAATACAAATATTCTTGGGGAAGAATGTCCACATATCGTCAAGTGTGGCCAATAGTTGCACTGCATCCTGTCAGAACGAAGAACCAATGGTGTTACAGTACGTACTAGAGTGATCATGATAGACTGTGATGGATTTATTCTGTGATAGCAAGGAAAAGCGACTTTGGTAGATTACCACGAAATCGATCGACTACTCACTATCACCACACAGAAACAGTGATCAACAAATTCCGATATCAACTCACTCGGTAAGGAGTATCGGAAGAACTGGTCGCCGAAAACGCTCCTTAACATATAAGTACTGAATTCTGGACTTTAGTGAACAGTTGGAAACTGGCGCACCAACATGCCAACTTAATCACAACTAATGAAAGGCAAAGTCCGATAGGGCATTGAGGTAAGCCGAGAAGCTACTATCAGAAGCGAGGGTCAGTCGGATGGACTCTTACGCTCGTAGAATAACGTAATATCCACTCTCCAGATATTGGTATGGACTGTGCGTATCGAGGAAAGAACTGCAAAATGTGCATCGGCCGAATTTCTACGTCCCATTTCGCTGTCAGGCAGACAAATTTAACTCAGTTTATAGAAAGCTATCATGAGTTAAACACTATATTACAGTCGCTGAAACGGGATATTACCTGTTACAGAACTCAGTCCTTCAGGGACAAGCATTTATTCCGCAAAGCCAACCCAGAGAATATTACAGCATATTTGGTAAACCAAAACACTTCGATATAAAGTATACGTCCATGTCCATAACTAACGACCCTTCTGAGGCAATGAGATTGTTCCTTTAACCCAGCTAAACAAACGATGATTAACTCATATGAATGTCGGCTAATCCATGTCCAGGAATCGAACCCATTACGCTCGTCTCCCACTGGCTATCTGGTTCACTCGTTTGGCCCATCGGTTCTCTGGTACAACGCTCTCATCACCTCATCCCTTTTTTCGTGTCCCTGTGCCTCCATACGGTTATACACCCCATACACCTAGCCATCCCGTGTCATCTTTGTTGCAACCGTGATCATGCGCTCCTTGCCACACGGGCGCTCCACTCCCGGTTCACATCGTCGTCTCCGGTGTCATGTTAAATGCACTCGATTTATTCTGAGCGTTATCAACATTTATTTCGTATGACCTTGCATCGACCTTCGCAGTCACCACACCTTTCATCCACCACTCTAGACCATCAGGTGCTGACTGAACTCACACTTCCTCCTCCACTGTTAGCTCAGGTACTACCCGTGCACCGCGGTCGTAGTGTGGTGGACTAAAAGCAGACAGTACTGCGCCAGTTATAAGTAGCGTGGTTTAAGGATGCGAAACAGCAACCAGCCAACAGCAGGCCGTAATAACTCCCCCAAAGGAAAGGAACACTTTGGAACCGCAAGTGAATGCGCACGAGAAATGAACGCACAAGCAGTGCGCACCGCTCAACTATTAGACACAGAAAGAAACCCGCGCAATGCAACCTACAACCAGGATGACGAAGATGTGTGGATGTCTCGTTTGTCGGAACGAGTGCACGCAGTGTTAGCTATATTTGCAAAATAAACAATGCAGCTTGCCCCTCGGGTTCTTACAGTAGTACCGTTTCTGGGGGGTCATTAGTCTCAGATAGAGCTGTAACCTCTTATATCGTAGTTAAACAGCGCAAAAGTGTGTCAGGAACCGGCATAAGGGTTATACATCATTTCCGAGTTGTGTTAAGCCATAGCGGAATCTATTTAGGCCGTAATGGTTCCGAATCCATTTCACACGTCGGACAAGGTGTAGAATAGATTAATTCGCGAAATGGTAACGGCTCAAGTGGGAACATTTACGGCCTAAATTGTTTCCGCTATGACCTAATATGACTCGACTGTATAGATGCTGCGCTGGGCTCAAACCGATATCCGTTGAAGGAGTGTTGAGATTTTCCATGAGGTACGGGTCTTCGCCAGTAGCACTAACCTTCAACAACAGTCGTTTGGCCTGCTTCACTGCCGACTCCGCTTTTCCATTCGATTGGCTGTGATATGGGCTGATTTGCCGGTGCACGAATTCCCACTAGGTTGTGAAGGCCTGGAACGCAGCGCTAGTAAACTGAGGATCACTGTCGGAGACCAGCACTTCCGGTATACCGTGTCGCGCGAATAGACATCTCAGTTTGTTGATTACTGCTACTTTGGTCGTAGTGGTGAGTAAACCGATTTCAAAATAACCACTATAGTAATCCACCGTAAGTAAGCCCTCTCGTTATCACAGAATAAATGCACCGCCACCTTCTGCCACGGTCGCACACGGACATTGTAAAATTCAGCAGAACTTTGATTTCCTGTACCAGATGGATTATTCCTACTTGATGGCTCAGTAAGCCTATTCCAACCTCTTTCCACCTTCCGAGCTAATAGCATGCTTCCCGTGCTTTAGACGATCACATACTCAAACGAGTATCGCTTTACATTCACTTCATTTGCATGCACTTTTCTCAAGGTCACCCTTTCACCAGTCCGCTATTGACATAAAGTTACTGTTATCTGTTTTCGTCGCCGTTGCAAACTTAGTTGTGAGTCATATCTTGTATATTATTCAGCCCTCTAGAACCATGGTCATGGCATTACAATACAAATTCTTCTGTCCCGATCGTTTTTCGCCAAGACCGTGCGCATAGTCCAGGTGTATAGCTCGAACTAGCAATGTTTACATACAATACAGGCGACGTACCTTGATCTAGCTTGTTCCGTCGTCACAGGTATCATGTAGCAGCATTGGTTCCTACATCTTCCGGATTTCGTGTAGATAGCACGCCTCACAATTTGACATGATCTCTGACGTGACCCGTCATTTCCGGTTAGATCAATTCTCTTGCTCGATTAATTGTATAGTTGGCACCAAGGTGAGCGCGATGAACGTGTTTTAGCATTTCTCCTCGGAGCGATGGCGGAATAAAAATACGGCTTCTGTTGAACAGCAAACCCTCATAGACCGAGAGTTCATCCCAAAAATTGAAGTAGGGTTCTAGTTACTTTCAGTAGCCGCTTCGTTTCTGGCCAACAATAACGTTCCGCAACGCTGTATACGTTGCGTCTTCCTCTGTGTATCGTCTTATTTCATTCAGACGATCTTCCGTCACTGCGGGATGCTATACTAGGCTTACTTCTCAGGTACCGTTAGGTGAGTTCTTGACAACGTGTCCGCGATGAACTTCTGTGCACCAGGCGTGTAAACAATATCTACGTCGTGCTTTCGAAGCCGGATAAATAAATAAATAGTTTATTCTCGAATTTGTCGAGACACACCAAACCAGGCATGATACGCTGAAGACGACGAGAAACAATGTGCAGCGGTTTACTAGCTATCGACACAAGCGATTTGTGGTCGGAATACACAGTTGTCCTTCCGAAAGTATAATCGTTGAAACGCTCCATGGCATAGACTACTGCGAGCATCTCCTTCGCAATCTGCACATAGCGTTGCTCGGTCACGGTAGGTGCTAGAGTGTGAAAATCCATAGGTTTTCCCTCCTGTAAGAGAACAGCACCTATTCCGTATTGGCTACTCTAACACTATACCTTCAAAGGCTGCGCTGGATCGTAATACCCGAGTACAGGTGCGTTGTTGATGAGGTGCTTAATAGTTTCGAATGCGCTTTTCTGTTCCATTCCCCAACCACTTTACTACTTTGTGAGTTGGCTTCCTGATCGGCGTCATGATATCAGTGAGTTTATGCATAAAACGACTCAGGCAATTCTCCATGCCGTTTAAACAATGGATTCCCTTCACGTCGCTAAGGTGCGACATCTCTAGTGTTGTCTTGATTTTTCTTGGATCGACCCTGATCCCTTGGGTAGTAAACATATGTCCATAGAAAATCACCTTGTCTTTTCGAAGATCAGCTTTCTCGCGTTTAAGCTTGAGATTCTTTTGTACACAACGCTACAAGAAACGTGGAGATTAGCGTCATGCTCTTCTTCTGTCGAGTTGTGGAGCGAAACATCGTCTGCCACACTTTTACACCATTTAAACCAGCTACCGCTTGCACCAATCTCTTTTGAAAAATTTCATTCGATACCAAGAAGAACGGTCAAGGTAGCCAACGATAACCCTCGAACGGTGTTGCAAATGTAGTAAGGAAACTGGATTCATCAGGTAGAACCACCTGCCCGAATGCTGAAGTGAGGTTTACCTTCGTGAAATGGCTTTGGCCAGGCGCGGCAAAATGTTTTCCAGGATCGGTAGTGCGTAGTGCTCTCTAAGTACGACCTTAGTAAACGGTTTCGGGTCAAAACACATAGCAGTTCGCTCTTCTTCGTAACGATCACGACCTGACCAACCCATTCGGTTGGCTCGTAGACTTTGGCGATCACACCCTCCCTTACTAATTTGCTTAACTCAGCGCGGGACCTGTCACACAGCGCAAATGGGACTCTCCTAGCCGGTAGCGCAGTCGATCGTATCAAAGGACCTAACGACAAGTGAGCGGCTTTCTCAGATTTTCCCAAACTCGGGCTAAACACAGACGGGTACTGATCACTGATATCGGTTTCGTCCTGGCAAGCATGCATGAAACGAACACGATTAAAAACAATAAAACCGAGAGATTGGATCAAACCAATGCCGAGAATCGGCCGGAGCTCCTCGTCCTCGACCACAAACTTCAGTCGATGTGAGGCTCCTTCCCTTGGTTTAACCACTTCGATTGTAGGCGAGCCTTTTGGTTGGAGTCTGGAACCATTCCACATGCACACTCCGG